ATCCCGGTTCCCCAGCGGCCCAGCTGCAGTTCCCGAGCTCGGCCCACAGATGGCAGGTGGCCACCTCGCGGAACCACTCCCTTGAGAAACTGGCAAGGCTACCAGGGTGTGTGTGAGAAGTACCCAAGGAGAATTCCTTTCTAAATAGACATCTTGGGAAGAGAAGTCTTGGCTGGCAATGTCAGATCTGAAGCAGCGATAGCAGGGACCCTGCTGGCAGAACAACGGGCAGGCAGGGCTCCCAGTTCTCGAGGTGGACAGGGCAGCCCTGGGGTGGGTGGGGGAGGGGGGTGGGCCATCTGGGCTCAGGTGGAGGTGGGAAGAGGAAGCAGTAGATGCTGAGCCCTCCACACGCTCCCCACTGAGCGGAGCAGGAGGCCAGCCTGACCTTCACATGCCTTGTTACAAGATCAACTTTGCAGCCCTGTTTGGCTGCAAAACAAGGAAACTTCACTTCTCCATGTGCTGTTGTCAGAGGACCTGTCCAGACAAGGGAAGACTCCTGTCCTGAATATGCATTAACTGGACCTTGAACAGCGGCATCAGCCTTTTATTGTAGTGGCTTAGAAATGGCTTTAAAAAAAAAACAAAATAAAATACGAACCACAGAACAGCCTGCAAAAAGGCGCGTGTACCAGGTTTGCCAAAAGAATGACTAGCTGGCTTTGGAAAATGGGGTTCAACTGAAATTAGTCAGGGTTCTCCACAGAAACAGAACCAATAGGATGCGTGTTTGTTCGCTTGCATGTTTGTTTATTGTAAGGAATTGACCCCGTGTGATTTTGGAGGCTGACAAGTCCCCAAACCTGCAGTGCGAATGGGCAAAGCAGAGGCCCAGGAGAGCTGACTTGGCCGTTGGAAGGCTGTCAGGCAGGGCATAAAGTTAGCAGCACAGACACCCCCCCACCTCCGCCCCGGAGCTTATAAATCAGCTCCGGCCAGCAGGCCCAGAGTGGGCCCAGAAAATCGGTGTTTCCTGTTGTTGGATAAAACAAGGCTTCACTTCACTGTGACACAGATGGATCGAGGTGGGTATGTATATCAGTTTCCTGAGGCTGCCATTGCCAAGTATTACTAACTGGGTGGCTTAAAACAACAGGGGAAAAATGCACAATATTTCCCCACAATTCAGAGGCATCTCTGAAAAGGGAGGTTTGCGTTAAATATTCGCTTGAGAAAAGCGAGACGGAGTCAGCGCCCCCCCCCACCCCTTTCTCCCAGGGGTGGCTCTGGAAATCCTCGCCAGGGATCATGCTTCCGGTGCCCTGTTCTTGCAAATCACTCTTTCAGAATCAATGAGTGCAGAATCGCAGCCCTGAACAAGTTATGCTCTTGGAGCAGATAGCATTCAAATCATGCAGGAATTTCTCAAAAGCAGCCCTGCGAGTTGCAGCAGGAGTTGTCCTTCGAGGAGAGCAAGGCTTCCTCGCTGGGGAGGAACCTGCCGGGCAGAAGGGGGCAGGGCTGGGAGGGCGGGGCCGGGGCGGGGCCAGGGCGACGGCGAGACGGACAGGCCAGGGGTGGGGCTGGCGCGGAATCTGGCCTCCACTGTCCCTTCCCCCATGAGCTGGTCAAGGTTGGGGCGGACCTCGGGGGCGCTGGCTTTATTCCGGGCAGGGACCTCGGTCAGCGCCAGACTGGCAGCGGGAGCTAAGTGAGCCATTCGCTGGGGGGCTGTATCGGGACGCGCCGCTCCCGGACCCCGAGGAGGGTGGAGATGGGCTCACACTTCACGCAACAGTGCGCCCATCAGAGGTGACAGACACGAGGCACTGTTACCCCTGGGCACACGCCCAGCGCGCTGTCTCCTTGGAGCCCCAAGGCCATCCTGAGAAGAGACCTGTATCCCCCATCGCGAAGACCAGCAAACTCGCCCATGGTCACGATGCGGGAACCCCCGCCCCGGAGGGTCCTCGGTCCAGCCTCGTCCTTGGCTTACAGGGTCGGTCCGGCCCCCAGGGCGGGATGCGCAGACGGCTCCCGGCCCTCGCTCGGCTCACAGGGCCAGCGCGCGGGGATACTTGGCTGTGCGGAGAAGGGGACACCAGCTCAAGGCCCCCCCGGGGACTTGGACGACAGAGGCGCCTATTGAGAACTGCTGTCCCCAGAGGACGCGGACTTAAGAATTCTCAGGGAACGCGCGGCAGCAACCTGGCGGCTGGCGCTTCCTGGCCCTCTCCCCCTCACCCACTCCCCGCGGGGAGCTGTCTCGGGTCTCAGCACCTTGCCTCCGGGCCTCCATCTCCCCGAAAGCGCCTGGCCTCGAGCCCTGCGGTGCACCCGGTCTGTCGCGGTCCCCTGGCACCGCCCACCAGGGCACTTCTCCGACGTGGTCGTATTCATTCTCGCGACGGCCACCTCCCACGTCCGGGCGGCAAAACTTGCACTATTATTAGCCTAATATTTTTCTTTAACTCAGTCATTTTTTTTTTTTTTACCTAAAATGTATTTAAAGTGAAACTATGCTTTGATGAAAGGTTCTCATTCATGTAAGTATTGACACTGCAGTGAGCTCAATCGTTTTGGAGAATATGAATGTTTACAAAATTATGGATAGGATTTCTTTGTTTATTAATAAAGTTTCTACAGTTCACCAAGATGGAAAATACAATTTACTATTCTGTTTGTCTTATTTAGTATTCTAATAAGATTTGTTGTATTTTAAAACTAACACTGAAAGCTTCAAATTTTAATTTGTATATCTCATATTGTTGTTGGGATTTATTTTGTAAAAAGGTCACAAGTAATAAAACATCTGTTCAAAAATGGCAGCTCTTTATATTTTGTGCCTTTAAATGATTTAAAACATTCAACTCAATGATTTGCTGTGTTCTTTTAAAAAAAATCTCACCTAATTTGTTGCTGCTACTTGCTATACATTTATTATGTTAAATATTTGCCCAACAAAATAAGACTAAATATTTTCTTCTCTTTTGACACTTTAGTCTCATGAATTAATGTAATACCAAATGTTTCCTACCTGAACTCTCTTCGGTGTGTCTCGGATGGCCATGGAGTAACCACAAAGGTTTATCCCCTGGGATTATAAAAGAAACAATGCTAAAATAATTATTAAAAACATTGCCAATATAAGTTTCTTTTATACTTGGAAATGTCACCTTACCTGCCAATGACCAATGACCATTAACATAAATAACAATGACCTATCATCACAGAGGGTTTAGAGCCCTGCTTGTCTTCACAAGTCTGGCAAGGGACTTTGTTTTTCTGTGACGGATGAAAAAACTGGCCTTGGGAGTGGGTTGCGGAGCTGTGTGAGGAACACAGCCATGTCGGGGGAGGGCCAGTCCTCTGTCCGCAGGCAGCTGGGGGCCGCTGCGGAGGCCCCTGTGCAATCTGGTTCCCTGGCTCTGGAGCTCAGGGCTGAGCCTACAACAGGTCACCCATAGATATTTGTCAAGTAAAGCAAGCGGAGGGCTAAGTAGACGAAATTGGAGTGTTCCGTGGCTGGGCTGGCGTGCGTGCGGTCAGTCATCTGTGCTGCTCAACTTCGCGCAGCTGAGACTAGACTGTGCAGGGAGTCTCGGGAAGACGCCTGGAGCTGAACCCAGGACACAGCGCACATGACTCATTTTCTAGTCAATTCGCTTCTTTCCCCACCCAAATAATGACACTGTCTCCTTTCAAGTTATCTTTACATATTCAAAATCCCAATGATTTTTAAAATGTTGGTTTAAATGTTAGTGACATTCGCTACAAACAAGCTTCAAATAACCATTGGGCACTCTGGTCTCAAGGGGATCGATTTTGATCGGAAGATTATGCGGAAAAGAGTGCGGCAGCCTGTTCTTCCTAAAAGGCCTGGGGACCAGCCCGGTTCAGTTCTCACCAAAGGGTGCCTTCCGAAGGGAAGACCCCCGTGGGGGAGGGGAGGCAGTGCATTGTTTACAGAGCAGAGGGGCCCAATTATCTGCTGTAAAATAAGATTATCATGTGCCCACACAGGCGAGGATTAACCTCTCCTTTCTGAGTGACTAACACAAAAATACAGTGAATGTCATTAAAATGCTTCCTCTTTTATCTCCCCATCTTGCCCTCATTATTCATCTCTGTTGGCCAAGAATAAGCCTTTGCTCACTGAACACTCGCACAGATATGAGTGGTTTTTAGGTGCAAAAGCTTTCAACCACACTTTTCAACCTCTGACCCAGATATCTGTCCAAGAGCAGTGTTGAGTTCAGGCTGGGAATATATTCCCCGCAAAGGTGGAAAAAACATCTTTCCTTTTCAAGCGATCTGTTCTACATGTAAAAAAGGCACCCCCCCCCCAAGAAAGGGTGGGGAACTCCTGCTGTCTTTGGGACTTTAGATTTGCTGTTGGGGTAATAAAAAAAAAGTTACTTCCAAAGGGAAAACGTCGATGTAAAAAAAAAACCAAAACAAAACAACAAACACCCGAGACCATGAGTCTCCAGGGAATTACGCTGAGTGGAAAAAGCCAGTTCCCAAAGATCCCACACTACCTGACTTCTGTGTGCAAATACAACACATTTACAAATACAACAACGTTAGAAATAGAGGGATGATTCGCGGTGGCCAGGGGATGGGGGTTCGGTTATGAAGGGACCACGGAAGGGTCCTTGCGCGATGGAATGTTCTATGTAAAGACACTGACCTACGCAGGCGACAACAGTGTATCGCAGTTAACACACGCAGAGAAGGACAAGTAAACTTGGGGGAATCTGAATAAGATCCTAGTTGTAATATACAATATCCTAGTGTAATATACTTTTTTCTAACAACTGCATGTGACTCTACAGTGATGTAAATTACACACGCCCGCAGGAGAGCTGCTGCGCACGGCGCCGGGTCCTTCTCAAGAGCTGAGCACCCAGGGTAGAACGCAGTGACCCCGCGCGTCTCTTGGTGGGTGTGCAGGGACCCGCTCCCGGGGCGGGGCCGGCGGAGGGCGGGGCGCATGGCGGAAGTGACGTCTCGGGCGGGGCGCGCACCTGGGCACCTGGGCTGCCGCTGAGGCTCTGGGCGGCTCGGGCTGGCAGCGAGAGACGAGCGATGGAGGGCGACAGCGGGGCCCCGTGGGCCCTGGGGTTGCTGCGCACCTTCCACGAGAGCGAGTTCGCGGGCTGGGAGAAAGTCGGCTCCGGCGGCTTCGGGCAGGTGTACAAGGTGCGCCATGTCCACTGGAAGACGTGGCTCGCCGTCAAGTGCTCGTCGTTGAATTCTCTGCCCGTCGACGACAGGTAAGCGGCCCAGGCAGCGGCGCCGCGGTGCCCAGGCGGGCGACAGGGCCGGCCCGGGGTCGGGGTGCTTGGGTCCTGGGGGTCCTCTTCTCTCCACCTGCGTTGCCTATGAAGCAGCCCCGGAGGGAAAACCAAGCGCGGGTCGAGGCCGTAAAGCCCCCGGCGCTGTCGGCGCGGCTTGCCTGGCAGAAATGGGGAGCTTTGGGGAGCTCCGCGTCTGATTGCGCGCGCGGGGTCTGTGAGCTGCGGCTCCTAGTTGCGACCTCGGTAGGCCGCGCTTGCCCGAGACGTTGTTAAAGTGCCCAGGGGTGCTACCTGGCTTCCCGTGAAGCCCCGAATTTTCAGAGTCGTGAACTCCCCTGCGTCGTCGACCTGCGCCCCTCGGAGGCGCGTCCGGATCTCCCGGGACCCACCTTCGTACTGCGGTCTGCGCCTGGCTTAGCAAAATTGCCGTGTGGGGATCTGAGCTTTGTTGAGTTAGTTAGACTCCATTCGACTCACTCAGTAATTTACGCTGGAGCACAAATTGGTGTAAGACGGTAATTATTTCGGTCGGAAGCACTGGCTTGGCTGGGCCAGGCTTTCTCCGCGTCCCGGCACTTGCGCGGCGGTGCGGCCACCCAGTTACGTTTGGTGGGTGCACTGTGGTCTGCAGAGTTTTGGGCGTGGGGACGGGAGGAGGGCCTAGAGAAAGCAGCTGTTTTGTTTGTTTTTCACCATTTGCGTTTCCGTTCTAATAATTTATATGCACGTTTCAATTGAACATTTAAATAGTTACGCTGGGATGAGGCTTACATTCTGTGTGGAAGTTGGGCTTGTATTCTGTATGGAGCTCCCACGGATACATCAGCCCGGACACAGGCGGACTCAGAAAAGCAGCCGCGCTTAACCCCCACCTCTAGCCTTTACCGGCTCAGCGACCTGTTTCCTAATCCTCGCTTGCGGAGTAGTGTGGCGTCTTTTCATCTTAGGATGGTGGTGATGTTTGAGGTGACAGTGTGTGTTCCCACTAAGGGACATAGAAGGACTGCCTTGCGTGCTTCCACCACATGTAGTAACAAATAATAGGCCTGGGGAGAAGGGATCCAGTGAACTTGCGGACTTGGTGTTTCCACACTGGCCTTGGGGAGAGTAGAGTAAAGTGGTGTCTTTTTGCTGTAAGCCTCAAACTCAGTGTCTCCTGGAAACTTCAGGAGAATGGTGACGGGTGTCGTAAAAATCCCTCACTGGAGGGCGAGGTGCTCGGGAAGCTGAGCCAGCCCTTTCCCCTCACGGTACCGGTACAGCGGCTCCTGGGAGCAGCTCGGGCCGGGAGGGGCGCTGTGGTTACTTTGATGAAATGCAAACCTCTTTGAATTTGAATGCCAGCCAGTGAGAGGTTAGATCCTGACTGGCAAGACCCTCTCCCTCGGGGTGTTTTTATGCTGTTGGGGATGTTTGTCTGACAGAGGCTTTTGGTCGAAGTGACTTTTAGTCATCAGCAAAGGCTCTACCACCGGTTTCTTGTATTGGAAGAGCAAAGCAAACAAGCCCGTCCCCAGGCCGGTGAGTCAGCCTGCATCCTAGAATCTGTTATTTGTAGCAACTAGGCCCTTGTGTCTTGGGTGGCCCAGCTGGAGGTAGGGCTTCTCCACCTGAGGCGGGTCCTTTAGGATCTGGCAGAGCCTGGTTGAAAAGTGTTTTGTCCTTTAACTGGAAGCCTTTCCTGCCCTGCCCAAACCAGGCAGGTGGTGGCACGTAGGGGGCGGCTGGGTCGAGGTCAGCGTCGCCCAACAGGAACCACTCGCCCGCACTCTGCGGCGGCGCCCAGCAGGCCGGAGTCCTGCCTCTTCGGCAAAGGTTGAGTTCTCCGCTGGAGAAGATGGTCAGAGAACTTGCTTGTGGCCAAGAAAACTCCTCCGACTGTATTATTGACGGGATTCAGCTTCTTGTGAGGACTGGTGTCCCTGCGCTGCGGCGCGGGGGGCGCTGGCCATGGCGCAGTCTTGCAGGGCTGCAGCGAGACCTTGAAATCAGCTTTGCTACCTGTCCTGCCAAGTATTGGCAGGTGGGCTCATTGCTCTTTCGATGAGCTGCCTCCCATCGCCACTCTGCTCGTTGCAAGCTGTTCCCTTTCGTGGGGAATAGGGTTTTCCAGAGTTTTGAGAGCAGCCTCCAGCCCAGCACCCCTCCGGGCTGAGTTTGACTCAATGTGTTTGAAGGGCAACACCTCTAACCCCTGCTTGGGGGTCTGGGGAATGGGTTGCAGCCCCTTGGGGAGCTTCCCAGGTGTGATCTGAAACTGTCCCCCATGCTTGGAGGGCAGGGAGAGACCCCGGACCACGCCAGGTGGGGAGGGGGCGGGTTTAATAAACAAGGGAACTTAGAGCTTGTCTGGGGTGGCCTGAGATGAGCAGCTTGCTGCACCCGCCCATCAAATCTTGCAAGTTCACGTAGAGGCCCTTCCTGGCGTCAGGCACGGACCTGGTCTTCCTGCTGACCTTCCCCAGCACTGGGCCTCTTTGGCTACAGGTGTGGGCCAGGCTGATTTTCGGTGGCTGCTCCAGGCAGGCAGGCAGGCAGGCTGGAGTCTCTTGGCCCCCCACCGCGGCCATCCCCAGCCATCCTGCCACCCCTTAGCCGCAGCAGGGCCTCACCCCCAGCACCACGCTGGGCTGCTCGGAGCAGCAGGCTGCCCCAGGCTTTGTGGGCCTGTGCGTCTTTACTGGAAGGTGGGGGCTGCGCAGCCTCAGACACCCCCAGGGCTCTGGAGCGCAGACTGATTTGTGTTTCCTGCTCCTTGTGGCAGACTGATCGTCATTAGGGGGTCCTGGGGGCCTAGGTGGAGTCCAGCAATGGGGGTGTTACCATTAGGCCAGAACTGGCCCCTTCCTCCAGCCCCAGCCCTCAGGCTAAGAGGAAGCCCTGAGTAACTGGGCGCCTGGCTGGGCACCGGCCCAGCAGCTAATGCGCCATAGGCGCTGGCTCGTTGGGACGAGCCCGAGCAACCCTCGGTTCTGTAAGTACAGGGCCAACAATCCGACAAGCCCATTTCTTGTCAGTTTTAAAAATAGCAGTGTGGGAACCCTGGCTGGCTCCCTGGGAACATAACTGGGTTGGCGCGAGGTGAGAAGGCCGTGCGGAGAGCGTCAGCTAACGAGGGATGACACCATTTTCCTGCTGCTTTTTCCCCGAACGTGGTTCCAGGTCCCTCCCTCTGCGGAAGGAGGGCTTTGTCGCTGAAGCACCTCTCACCTCCCCCGTCCTGGCCCCTCTCCGCCTGCAGAGGACCCCGTCCCTCGGCTGCCCCTTCCCCTTTTCCAGAGTAAATGCTTCCAGAAAGGGAGGAAAGCCCTGGGGAGGCCTTTGGTTTTTGGAATTCCTGACAGCCCAGCAGCCTCTCCAGCCAGTGCTTAGAAATGATCCGCCTGATGTTTGTGCCTTTTCTCTCCCCCCCCCCCCCCAACGCCCTCCCTCAGAGAGGAAAAAAAAAAGGCACTATGGTGATAAGTAAGCATTGTGGAGAAAGGATCTTTAACACATTGAGGCTCCCCTTGGTCCTCTTAGTTCCCAGGAATTTCCTGTTCGGGTGCAGGGGCCCTGCTCCACTGCCGATGGGAAGTGGGAGCTGCCGTCCTTCCCCAGACAGCCAAGGAGGAGACGTTTTGAGGGGACTGCAGAAGAGGAACGTGCCGCCAGTCCTGCCGCATCGGGTCTAATTGTTGTATCTGTGCTTTTAGCAGGGCACAGGTGTTAGGGTGTTTTAGTGAAGACAGAGGATGGTGGGTCTGGGTGGTGCGGAACTTCGCTCCCAACAGTGAAGAATGGGGCTGGGGACTGCTTTGAGAAATCTCCCCAGGCCCTCAAATGATAATAGTAATCATAGCAATAATCATAGGAATAGATCCACATTTCCTTTTGTGTTGTCAGTGTAAACCAGAAACGTGGCTTTGAGGGAAAGTGTTTAAAAAAATAATTGCCACTGACGAAAGACAATTGGTTGTTTTCTTTCTGTGAGAGGCACACTTTTCCGTCCTTTCCAGCGGCGCCCCGAGGGGGGCCAGTTACCGGCTTATTGAATTGCAAATGCTGCTGGGCTCTCCGATCCCGGAAGGGCTGTAGCTGCCTGAAGAAGTCGGGCGGCCGGTGGGGCCCGACGGTGGGGGCAGGGCGGGTCCCGGCGGGGTACCCCAGGAGCCACTGAAGGAAGGCCTGGAGCAAGGGGTTGTTTGGATTTGGGTTTGGTAGTTACTGAAATATAAACAGGACAAGCTTTCCTTGTGTGTGCCAACTCTTTAGGGGGCCCTGGTCAACCCCACCCCCTGGCCTGCACTGCACGGCGGCCTCTGCGCCCCATTGAGGCTCCTGCGGGGCAGTCCCAGGATCCTCTTCCTTACCCCAGGGATGCGAGGTCACAGCAGGACCCTCCACTGTACAGCATTTCTTACTGAGCTGTCACGAAAGAAGGCGATTTGTCCCTGGAAACAATGACTTATTTTCCAGGAGAGATGGCTTCCCTTGGTGAAGTGTCCTGTGTCATTTGTGCAAAACCTACCTGGCATTGATCCCCAAGAGGGTGCGGTGGGGGCTCTCTGAGAACTGTCGAGTTGTGATCAGCTTTCGGGAGCCAGCTGGTGGCGACAGCGGCTCTTTTTATTTTTATTTTTTAAATGAAGGTAAATTGGTGCCTTGGTTTGGTGGAAGGGCCCGGGGCAGGGGCCAGAGCCAGAGCGCACCTGGCTGAGCTGCAGGTGGGGAGGGGGGAGTGGCAGGCTGATGAGCTCAGCGATCGGAAGTCACCTGCGTTTTCTGCTTGCAGCCCTTTGGGCAAATGGAAGAAAACAGCCTCGTTTGCAGAGTGGCTCAGAGCTCTCGCTTCAGAAGACGTTCAGCCATCAGGCGACCCAACTTTGCTGTCATACAAATTTGTTAACAGTCACGTTTGGCATAGAGGACTCATTTAAAAATGTAGTTGGCAGTCCACGTCACAATTTCCCCTTTTTTCCTGAGACTTGAAATTGGGAGCACTCTGCATAGCTTGGGCAATGGCCCCGAATTGCTGTGACCGCTAATGAACCAGCTCCTTGTACTGGTATCTTAGGTGCAAGCTGTAAAGCAAAATACCCCTATTCTGCTTGGTTGCCAAATGTGTATTTGTAGCCCTTTCATGCAATAGATTTCAAGTTGTTGTTTGTAAAACAAAACAATGACAGAGGAGAAAATTGCCTTCCTGGAGAGAGAGACAGAATAGCCACGTGTACAGCTATCCCCAAGAAAGAATTCAGTTCTTTTAAAAAAAAAGTTTCCTTAAAGCGGCCCTCCTCACGGCCAGCCCGCAGACATGGGCACTGTCAGGTCCTGAGAGCTGGCGCCCTGGACGGGGTCCCTGCATCCTGCAGCGGGACCCACGCCAGCCCCTGTGGGCGCAGGGCCTGAGCAAGAGCGTGCTCCGAAAGCAGGAGCAGACAGGCCACAGCCCTGGCCTTAACAGCACAGGAGATGGAGAAGCGGCCGGTGCTGAGCCCCCATGCGCAGCTGCGAGTGAGTGTTGTAAGTGGTGGAGGGGCTCCTAGTGCGTGGGGAGCAAACCAGGTCGCCTGGAATGTCTGGGGTGTCGTTTTCCGTCCTCCTTAAGTGATGGGCTTCGTTCTGAACGATGCTGGACCTTCGCACCAGCCCCTTGTTCTTTCAGAAGCCCCCCTCACGGCGCGGGGTTGGGGGTCGGTGTCTCTGTCGTCCTGCAGCCTGACTCAGTGCTGAGGCTGCAGGGCGGGGCTGGCCTGCCGGCTGGCCGGCCAGACAGGGAGCCTACAGAGGCCCTGCTGAATGAAGGTGGGGGGGCCCTGCTGAGTGAAGGCAAGTCTCGGCCCTGCCCGGGGACCCCGCAGGCCAGCAGGGCACTCTCGTGGGCATCTTGCTCCCCGTTAATTGGCGACGTGACCGGAGTGCTAAGAAAGCAAGTCAGGCCGGAACGCAGTTTTGTTTGGTGGTGATGTTGTGATTCACTCACTCCTGATTCGTGTTTCACTTGTTTCCAAGGCCGTCCGGACTCTTTGCTCCTGAGACTTTTAAAAACCAAGCTCTTGACAACCCCACCCTGCCCTTCCCTCCTCTGCGGCTGCTCCCGTAAGTGGGGCACCCCGGGGATCAGGGCGGTCCCTCCTGCCCCTCTCGTCCTCGTGCAGTCCCCTCTCCGGTCTGGACGGCCCTCCCCAGCCCGGACCCCCGTGCCGGTCTCGGCCCCCGTGTTAAATCTTTCCTCAGTCCGCAGGCCTGCCCCCCACAGTACTCAGATTTTCAACTCCACTTCCTTTTCTGCTGTAATTTTCCATCTTCTCCCCTGGAGGGCAAACCTGGGGAAGGCGTGACATCGTTTTCTTTATCATCACTTCTAATATATAGTGGGTGCTCCGTAATGACTTAGCATCAGTGAATTTTAGGTCGATGCGGATTAAAATCAAGTGAATGCGGCGAGTGCTTAGGCGGGCGGTGCCCAACTAGTGGTTTATTTTAAATTTGGCTGTATATGCATGGGCTTGGTGTGTACCAGGGGTTCTCAGACTTGACACTGTTGGCCCTTGTGACTTCGGGGCTGTCTTGCCGTTGTAGGAGGTTGAGCAGCATCTCTGGCCTCCACCCTCTGCATGCCAGTAGCAGTCCTCTCTGTGACAACCAAATGTCTCCAGACTGGGCCCAAGGTCTCCAGAGGGCAGAGTCACCCCTCGGTGAGAACTGCTGGTCTGTAGGCTGGGATCCTTTCCTGACACTCACCAGGCGTCCCTGGGGCCTGGATGGGGGTGTTGAGAGCCCGCACCCGCTGAGCTGGGATGCTGCAGCCTTCGGAAAGCGGGCTAACCCGGGCCCCGCCCCTCGGGCCTCTGCTTCCTGGGCTTTGTTTTCATAACTGTCGGGGAAGCCTGGGAGCACGCTGCGGTCTCAAAGCGGAGGTAGATCAATGAGAACGGATCTCATTTTCGTGATACAGCATTGGATTCCCCAGCAGGATTCTGTGTGAGGCAAGGGGGTGGGGTGGGGGCGCAGGTGGGCGGGCAGGTGCATCCAAGCCCCTGGAGACCCTGTGCTGGGAACAAGGCTGCTCTGGGTTACGGTCAGGGCTGTGTGCACTGGAACCTGAATTCCGTGCGGTGGGGGGCTGCGGGGGGGCTCCCTGAGGCTGCCTCAGCCTGCTGCCTGCATATCCCTCTGCAGGCGCCGTGCTGCTCAGTTCCCAGCTCCACGTGGCATGTCTGGGCTTGTGGTTCTGGGCTTTTCCTTTAGGAGCTGATGGGAAAGCAGGCTCCCCCGCACCCACCCGGAAGCCATTCTCCAGGAGTGGGGCCTGGGAGCCTGCATGTCAGCCCGCCTGTGGGGCGCCTTGTACTGTGCCCTCAGAACTACCAGCCTAGATCACATGTGGTCAAGCTCAGGCCTCGTAGGATTCGGCCTTTTTTCCTGAATGTTCCCCAAGACTTGGACCGGAAATGCTAACAGCGACTCACTGGGATCTAGTCAGTAAGTCCACAGGCTGCCTCAGGAAGTGACCTTAGACCAGGGGTTTACACACTTTCTCGAGGGGCCGGGGAGCAAATATTTCAGGCTGCACGGGCCGGAGGGCCTTCGTTCCAACTGCTCATCGCTGCCGCGAGCATGAATGCAGACGCAGTCCGAGTGGGCAGGAATGGGTGAGACCGCCTTCCAGCCCGAGCTCCTTTACGGAAGATGAGCTGTGGACGGCAATTCGGCAGGCTGTCAAAAGGGTCCGCAGAACTATCACATGGCCCGACAATGCACTCTGAGGTGTCTGTCCAGCGTGAAAGCAGCACTTGAACAGAGACTTGTGCAGTGCACATTCCCAGCAGCGTTAGTCACTAGGGCTGAAACGGGGAGCCACCTGTGTCCGCCCACGGGGGAGTGGGCACACTCAGTGGGGTGTGGCCGCGCAGTGGAATACGATGCAGCCACGAAAAGAGTGTAGTTTAGGTATGTGCCACAGCACAAATACGATCAGCGAAGCAGGCCAGTTACTGAAAGATAAATACTGTAGAGCAGTGGTCCCCAACCTTTTTGGCACCAGGGACCGGTTTCATGGAAGGCAGTTTTTCCACAGATTGGGGGCCGGGGGTGGGGCAGGAGGCGGAACTCAGGCGGTAACGCCAGCGAAGCTTGTTGGTCCGTCGTGCACCTCCTGCTGTGCAGCCCAGCTCCTCATAGGCCACAGACTGCGTGGGGGCTGGGGGCTGGGGGCCTGGGGCCCCTGCCGTAGAGCAGTGTGGGGGCGGGGTGCTGGGAGGAGTGTTACTGTTGAACAGGTGCAGAGTTTCTTTTGAGGATAATGATGATTTTGTGTGTGGGTCAGCGGTGGGAGCTGTGTGACACTGTTACTGTAGGTAATACCTTTGAGTTGTAGACATGGAAATGGTTAAAGCGGTACAGAGTATGTTATGTATATATTACTATCAATTAAAAAATGGTTTACAAAAATGGGTCTCGGGCAGCATTCCGCAGCCCTTGCATGGGACGACGGTGCCGTTAACGTGTGGGGCAGGATTCAGGAGTCACCGGGCCAGCTCCAGTGCTGACCTTAACAAGGAAGGCCCCTGGGGTTCTTCATCAGATGGATAATTTGTTACAAGTTTTAGTGGAACCTACATGCCCCTTCCCTTATCCCAACAGGCGGAATCCCAGCACCCACCTCCCCACTCCCCACTCAGTGCTTGCCTGTTGGCTCAGTGCTGCCTGTGGGTTTTCAGATAGTAATCAGATGTGTTTGAGTAGCCGTGGGACTGAAGATTCTGGACAGTGCAGAATTTAATTGTGCGACATTGAAGCGACAGCTCAGTGCGTGCACATGCATACGGGCACCTGTACATACATGTGTGTGTTTTAGTAATTTTCTTGCCTTTGTGGACTCTTGCCATGGTGCTGTGTTAGTGGTCAGGCGGCCAGTGCACGCTCCTCAGGCCTCTCCTCTTTTTTTCAGGTGCGTGGAGCTTTTGGAGGAAGCGAAGAAGATGGAGATGGCCAAGTTCCGGTACATCCTGCCGGTGTACGGCATTTGCCAAAATCCCGTTGGCCTGGTCATGGAGTTCATGGAGACGGGCTCCCTGGAGAAGCTGCTGGCCTCCGAGCCGCTGCCGTGGGACCTGCGCTTCCGCATCGTCCACGAGACCGCGGTGGGCATGAACTTCCTGCACTGCATGTCCCCGCCGCTGCTGCACCTGGACCTCAAGCCCGCCAACATCCTGCTGGACGCCCACTACCACGTCAAGGTGGGGCCCTCCCGTTCAGGGCCTGGGTGGCAGGGCGGGGGGTCTGGAAGGGGGCAGGGGCTACAGGCCAAGGAGGAGGAACCTTCGGGCAGGGGAGGGCGGAAGAGAACCTGAAGCAGAGAGGCCTCTTTTAACGTAAGAATGTCTGGAATCTCCAGGGATCGGTGTAAACACCAAAGCGTGTGGGTGGAAAATAGACTCTGAAAACGGGTCATGCCCCCAAATCGTGGAACGAGGCTCTAAATTCTGGGCACCGAGGAAAAAGAGGCTGTGGATCTGCGGGTTCTGGTCTTAGTGGGTGTCGTAGGAAGTTGGGCAAGAGATCACGCCAGCTCCGTGTGGGGCCGTGGTCCTGGGCTGTACCCCGCTCCCCTGGCGGTTGCAGAGGCTGGGGTGGGGAGGCCGTGGGGTGCCCTGAGGTGGAGGCTGCGGAGTCGTGGCAGAGGAGCTCCGAAGGGCTCCTTCCTGTCCGGGAACGTGCGGCCTGTGAAGGCTGCTCTTTCTCATCCTGTTTCTGGTCAGCGGATAAAACACAAGTATGATGCAGAGTAGAACTAAAAACCAGGTGCCGGCCACCTGGAACCGGCAGCTAGGCACGTCGTCGGGCTTGTGCTTCCGTGAACGTGTTCTCCTTGGCGAGCCGTCCTGGGCTGGGTGTTCTGTGGTCCACACCATGGGGGGCGCGCACCACAGGGAAGAGAACCAGGGTTCTCTTCCACGTGGTGATGCTCACGTGCTCAGGAGGCCCTTTCCCTTCGTCCTGTGCATGTGCGAGAAGAAGCCAATCCACGAACGATGGCCTGAGCCCCTTCTGGCTCACGTTGGGGACAGGCGAAGGGACTTGCCCGTGTGCTCTGACGTGTTGCTGTTCTGGCTGCACTTGTGGGACCCCTCCCTGCTGACCTGAAAAGGAGGGACCTGAATCCAGCCCGGCCCTGCCCGCGCGCGGCTCTCCCTGGGCCTCAGTCTCCCCACCGTGACAGGCCCATGGAGCCGGGTGGCCCCACCCAGGGCCCCCTGTGCCCAGGCTTCAGAGGAGGCAGCTCTGTCCTGGCTGAGCCAGCCCAAGGCTGGAGGGGAAATGCTGGTTTCACTTTGGGCAGTAATTACAAGTTGTCCCTTATGTAGGTGTTGCTCAGTAACAAGAGTTTAGCCGAGGCTGGAAGCAGTGGCCTGGCTTGTTCCCTCGTGGTCGGGTCTGCTGGCTGCACACTGCTGGCATGAGTCGGCGCCAGGAGTGTGTGGTCAGTCCCTTGCGCCCCCCAGCGAAGAGCGGAACCTTTGCTCTCAAACTTGACCACACCCGAGGAAGGGAAGGCGGTGACAGGCCCCTGCTGTGTGCCAGAGGCCCCGCCGCAGGCGCTGCCCGATCTTCAAAGTGGGAGACCGAGTGGGCGGTGGCCTCCAGCTCCAGCTAAGCTGGGGCTCCGAGGGGCCAAGTCGTGGGCCCGTGTCGCCCAGCTTGGGGTGGGGCTGGGTCTTCACAGAGCGTCAGCTTTTCTGCCGTCAGTTGTGGGGTGCCGGTGGAGGAGCCTGTAGGTGGAGGAAGCAGCCCGAGAAACTCATCAGCAGTTCTAGGGTTGGGGGCGGGGGAGCGGAGGGCAGTTGGGTCGGGTCGGATGGTTCCGGAAGGCCGTCCCCCGCCCAGCGACAAGGACCGCCATTGTGCTAGGAGGCTGCTGGGAATGCGCGTTTCTTAGCAGCCAGCTGGTGGGGGGGCACCAGGTCCTCAGACGGGGGTCTGCAGCCAGGTACCTCAGAGCCACAGGCCCTCACTGGCCTGGTTGGGCTTTATGTCAGCCCATTCGCTTTCCACTCTCCTAGCAGGTCGTGTGGCGTGTGGGAGGGCATGTGGGCCTCCCTTAAGGACCACAGTGACATCGTCCTTCTCAGTGTCCTGCTTAGGAGCACAGCCCTCCTCCCCCAGCACTGTCACCAGGTGGGCGGGGGTAAAACCTCTCTGCTGTTGTGAGGGGTCAATGACAAGCAAGTGCCTATAGCCCATGGAAGTGCTTGGTGGGGCCTTGTGTTATTGGTGTTGGTACTTTTGTGGCCAGGAGACAGTCACCTTTTCCACTTCTGGGATGTTGACATTTACCTGGCGATGGTCCCCAGTGCGGGGTCCACAGCAGGCATGTGCCACTTGCTCCTAAGGAGCGCAGTGCTGCTGCCTGGCGGTCCTTGTAGGCCATTTCTGCACCGGCTCCTGCGGGGCCTCTGTAGGGACCTGCCCTTCCCCCCGCAGGCCGGGGGCCGTGAGCCCGCTTACTAGCCGGTACGGGGTCCTCAAGGAGCTGGGCGGGGGCCTCGTTAGAGAGCCTGAGCAGGGAGCGGGGTCGAGCCTGTGTGGACTGCTCTCCGTGACAGGAAGCGAGGTGACGCTGCTGCTTCCAGGCCCAGGGTGCTGTGCAAGGCCCGTGGGGCGGCTTTGCCGTGACTCCCTCTTAATCAGGTGGGTTCGTCACCTTGCACCGCCCCAAACAAACGAGATGCACTTGCATAATGCATCTTGCAGTCTCAGAAATCGCTTGTGGGCTGTGAGAGGGCGGCGCAGCCGTGCTCAAGGTGCTGAGTGAGTGAGTGAGTGAGTGAGTGATTGGCCACCGGCGCACTTCTCCTCAGCGGTTATTTGACGCAATAAACCTTTATTCTGGAATCTTAAAATCAGTCAGCCGGCCCCCTTCCCTTGGCCCTCAGGACTACCTTGTGTCCATGGATAGGATGACTCAGACAGGAAATTTCACAGCAGCTGCCTGCTTTGCAAAGTGTATTCAAGACAATACTAAATTCATACTTGATATGAATAGTAACTATACACAATATCAATGTTAAAACACCAACATTAACATATCAGCAGGAGACCCATTTCAAAGGGAAGATGAAAGAACTTGGTTTGAAATCTCCCACTCTGCCTGGTCCGGAAGAGACTCTCTCCCAAGGGTGGCTGCGGGCCTGGCCTCCTTGGTCCACAGCGAATGGCCATTCTCCGGCAGGCAGCGCGGCCCTGACCGCGCCGTTAGTCTGGGCCACCTGGACAAGCGTTTGTGTTTACAGGGATGGCCCAGGTCCCCCTGGTGAGGAAGTGGGGCAGGCGGGACGCAGCGCCAGGGGAGACCCACATGCGGAGGGTCAGCCTGCACAAGCAGGGAATTCTGATTTCTGAGTTTGCATTTCGATGTTGGCACTTTTTACATAGAATTTATGCTTATTTTCTTTCACCGAGTACATTGGAAGCCGCTGGCTGTGCCTGAAAACAGCAGAAGTGGAGAGAAAAGGCTACCGGCGAGATGGGGGCAGGGCAGTGGGTGCCAGGATCCCGCGTGGCCGAGGGCCCAGATCTGCAGGGCTGGGTGATGGGCTTGCGCTGGAGAGCTGGCGCTGTCCTTTCCAGAGCGGGGAGTCTCCTGAAGGCCGAGGAACGGGCAGCAGCCAGGGGTCCCAAATGCCCAGTGGGCTGCCCCGGGGGCCCTGGGCCCAGCCTCGTGGGCTTCCTTCCCATCGCCTCCCTGCAGAGGTGGTCCAAGATCCCGTGAAGGAACAGGTCGTCAGTCATAACTCCTCCCTGCCTCCAGCGGCGGCAGTGATGCCAGGCCCTTGGCTCACCTGTGAGCTGGCACAGTGAGTCCAGACTTAGGTCCTGACTCAGCGCCATTTCCTATTGCCCCACAGGTGTGTTTGAGGTGGGGGACGGGGGGAGCCCAGAGTTGATTAGGAGGCTTAGAGAATCTGTAAGCCTTGAAGGAGAATATCCAGGGGCTGTTTTCCACATGGATTCTGAGCCCCTTCATGGCCGGGGCTTGCAGCCTAGTCCCACACACAGTGCTTCAGTGGCTTCCGAGGAGGCAGGGGCTGGAGGGCCCGCTGCTGACTCCCCTGAGTGTCGGTGTGGCTTCCCTTCCCCCGTTGTGTGTGTCTCTGAGCTGTCAGGACACCTTTGCCTGAAGGAGGCAAGGAGGTGGAGGCGTGGGGCCGAGCGGCCGGGGTGCAGGCGCTCCTTCGGGCTGGCAGACCCTGGGGACAGAGGAGATGCCTACCAGTTCTTTGTTTGGGTGCCACGTGTTTGGCGGAGGAGCCAGGAAACGCCTGCTGATCACAGAGCATTCCAGGCGGAGGACGAGGTTGCGTGGTGTGTGTTTTGCTTGCTTTAAAGGGCTTCTAAAGGTGCAGTTCCCTTTAAAGGACGTGCTGCCACTTGCCCACCTGCCCAGCTGCTGTGATTGTGCAACTGGATTTCCTTAGCGCCAGGCCTGGCTGGCTTCGCTTTCTCGTGTGGTCTGAGCACCCGGAACCTCCGAGCGTCGCCTTTTCCCTGTGTGCCAGCGCGGGCTGCTGACAGCGAGGGCAGGCTTGGTGCCTGGCGAGGAGGGCGGTGACCCTTCTGGCGTTCTCTCTCCCGGTGAATTCCTTGCTTAGAGCGTCATCTTCCCCCCACCCACCAGGCTCTTGATGGCTCCAGACCTGGTTCTTCTTAAGCGGCTGTGCTTGCCCACCGGCCCCGGGGAGCCCCGGCCCCGGCACCCGGTGTGACTCCGAGTGAAACGGCAGCCCGGGGTCGCACACTTGCTGAGCCGCCCCGATTGCTCTGTTACAGATCTCCGACTTCGGGCTGGCCAAGTGCCACGGGCTGTCCCAGGACTTCAGCGTGGATGGCGAGGACGGCGTGTGCGGGACCGTCGCCTACCTTCCTCCAGAGCGCTTCGGGGAGAAGGGCCGGCATTTTGACACCAAGCATGACGTGTACAGGTGTGTATGGGGGTGCGGCCTCCAGACCCCTGTGTGCCAGGCCTGGCGGGGCCTCTGTACCCCGGTTCTGCACGCACCGAAGGGCAGTTTCCCAGAGGCTCCTTTCTGCGATCAGATACAAGGTTTCTTCCAAATGCGAGGGTTTGGGGTTTTTGGCTGGTGGGCACAGGCTGCCCCAGGGGCACAGGGGACGGCCGTCTGCTGTGACAGTTGCCTGCCGAGTCGGGAGGGTGCAAATGGTCGGTGCCATTCTTAGGGTCAGTTAGGTTACCGGACTGACAGCTTCCGCACCGTCAAAGCTTCGGTGTTGTAGAACGTGGGTCGTGTCGCTGGTCTGCCGAAAGCGCCTGTGCTCTAGCGGCCGGCGGACCCCGGCTCTCCGAGAACCGGCCCCTCTGGCCCAGCGGCTCACATCCCCTCCCGTCACTGATCTTTGACGGGGGCGCACAGACAGCTGCAGGCCGTTGATAAACTCGCCTCCGTGGGATGTATGCCCTGGAGCAGCGGTTTTCAGCATTTTTCATGTCGTGGCACAGGTACAGCAGTGACTAAAATTCTGCGGCACACCAAAAAACACCAAAAAAATAAATATAATTTTGATTCATTCACCCCGTACAGCTTTTGTGGTGTTGGCTGTTCTCATTTTTTTATTTGACAGTCTAAGAGAAAAGAGGGCCACGCCCCTGACAAAATAGGCAGGTATTATTGCATATTCGAAAAATTCTTGTGGCACCCCGGTTGAATATTGCTGCCCTAGAGGACAGTCCCCAGTCCGTTTGGGCGTGCCTTTTCCAAATGGTAAAGGTCTTAATGACAAAGAACTTCTTGGAGAAGGAAGGAGGAAGGAGGAAGGGAGGGAGGGGGTGAGCGTGCACTTCAGCTGCTTGCTGTGGTTACTGTCCCGCACGCGATGGCAGGGACCAGAGCCCTGGAGCTTTGTGTTCTGTCGTTGCCGCTGCCTGGAGTCCTGGTGGACTGGTTTGACTGTAACCATTGCGTGGGTGCCTCGCAGGGCCGTGCAGGGCTCTGAGCTGTAGGCTGCCAGCGAAGGGTGCTTGGGGTGCTCGTCACCGCTTGTAGAGTTAGGGGAGAATCAGGTTATTTATGTTAGGCTGGAGAGCTTGACTCTTTGAACTTAGAGATTTCAGTTAATGTTCAACGGAGAATTCTTGGGTCTCTGTGAAGAGCTACTGTCCACTCAGTGTTAGGCGGCGGCTTAATGTTTGGACTCCTGGTTTTTTGTTTTTCTAAATTTATCAGATTGAGCTACTTCTTTTTTTTTTTTTTTTTTTTTTGGTGTATTCAAAGTAATTTTATATATTACATATACAGGTGGGGCAAAAAGTGGTTTACAGTTCATATGGAAAATACAATAATTAATAATAATGCAAGGATAGACTGTTTTGCATATTCACAACGGTAAACCGACGTTCGCCACACCTTGCACATAATTTCCAGCAGCAAAGAGGGCCCAACTCATGGCTAGCATGTTTCCTGGGCACTTTCTCCGGCCCTCTGCTGGACTCTCCTTGAGCAAGCGACCCGCCAGGCCCAGAGCTGCGGTCAGCATGTGACGCCCAGCATTTGCAGGAATGTGGTGGTGTATCCCACTGACGGTGGCACGCCTTTTGGGGGCTCTCTCACGGAGCTAGCACTTACAGCCTCATTGGCCAGGTTTTGTCCCTTGTTTAACATCTGAGCCACCCACACATTCCACAGTCAGCGTGTTTGGCTGTTTAAAACAATTCACGAGAAATGTCTTGCTGTGGTCTCTGTCTTTTGAAGACCGCCGGGGCCTTCTCTCCGGGTGATGCTTTGCGTGAGAGCTGTGGCTCCATTTGAGGGTCAGGCTCAGACACTAACCTGCCTGATTTCCCCCCAGCTTCGCCATCGTCATCTGGAGCGTGGTGACGCAGAAGAAGCCTTTTGAAGGTGAGTGGACTTACCCTTGGGGGGCAGTGCCCCCGTCTCCCCTGGAACAGTGGCGGGGGCGCCTTGTGGTTCTTTCTCCGCTTAAGCGGTGGCTGCGGTGTACACTCCCGCCGTGGGGGCCGTCCTGAGGGAGGGGGCTGCTCTGCGCGGCCCGCCGGGTTGGCACGGAGACCCACGGCCACCTCATCACAGGTGGCCCTGTGTGCTGACACAGCGCTCTGAGGTGTGGTTCACTCCCAGGAAAAGGCACAGGCCTGCTGGGCGCTGGTCAGTGGGGTTTTAGGGGCCAGCTAATTCTGGTATGCGGTATGTGTGTGATACAATACACAAACAAAATTGATCATTGTCGCTGTTTCAAGTGTACAGTTCATTGGCCTTAGGTGCATTCGCAGTGTTACATAATCACTGCCACTGTCTAGTTCCAGAACATTCTCATCCCCCAAGAGGTAACCCTGTGCCCATCCCCCAGCCCCCAGCCCTAGCCCCCGCTGGCTTCTAATCTGCTTTCTGCCTGTGGATTGGCCTCTTGTGCTTATTTCCAGCTAGTTCTTGTTCTAATTTTCTAATTTTTAATTGTGATAAAATACTCAGGACATGAAATTTACCATCATAATCATTTTTAAGTCTTCAGTGTGGTCCTGTAAAGGACATTCGCCGCACTGGGCAGCCAGCGCTGGATCATGGAGTGGATTTTGTTGGCACAGATGGGTGACCCTGGTCACCAACGTCTGCCCCAGAGCTGTCGCCTTCCTTCCCCTTTTCAGGCCACTGCTGCTCTGGTTCCTGTCCTCAGAGTTTTGGCTCCCGACTTGGTAAAATCAAGTACTTTTTGCCTCATTGGAGAGTATCTTTACCTCTGCAGGCCTGTCAGGGCCACTCATAATATTGTGGCCTAACCAAAAATACCTAAAAACGTAAGCCGCCATCAATGCGTGGCCCCAGGTCACGGAACCTTCGCTGGCTGGTATGCAAACGAGGCTGTGTTGTGTCCCCGCCCCCCGCCATCACCCAGCCTCCCTAGCTCCTCCTCCTCCGTGGAGCTCCACCGTCCGGGCTCTTTAGTGTGGCGGCACGCCAGTCTGGCATGAAGTTACCTGATGGACGCGACCCCCAAGGCCGGGTACACGATATGAACACTGAGAGCCGAGCCCCGTGCTCCACTGCTTGGCTGATGGAGAGGAGTTCAGGGTACAGAGGCAGAAGGCATCTCGTGGCCTTTCTCTGTCTGCATTTGGCAGCAGAACGTCCTCTGGGTGTTTGGTTTACTTTTGCTGCATTCAGAAACCCCTGCTGGGTGTTGGGAAGCCTGAGTTCTCACGGAAATAGTGTGTGGATACCCACGATAGCTGTTGCACAAGATTTAACGGGAAAGTGGAACGGAACATCAGAGCAGGATCCTGGCAGCTGGCGGGGGGCCTTGGGCCAATTTTCCGCACCTGCTCGCCTGCCGGGACTCTCCAGACTTGCGGGAGCTCCTGGCCGTGGGCGCGTCGGGAACTGTAGGGGAGGCAGATCTGTGGGAGACAAAATGCCTGGGGTCCAGCTGGATGGACAGTGTGTGTTAGGCTGAGTGGAGGAGAAAGTCTGGCCTGCGGAGGGTCACCTAGAGACCCTGAGTCTGTGACCAAGATGATGATGATGATGATGTGGTAATAAGCCCAGGCGTGTTTCTGAAGGAGGGTGGGAAGGACAGGTGGGCCCCATGTTAGGAGTTTGGGGGGCAAGGCCCCTGGGTGCACAGCCCGTACTCGCGCACTGTGGGGGCCCGCCAGGGGTCTGCCCTTCAGGACAGGAACCGGGACTCAGGACCACTCCGTCCCTGCACGGAGGGTCAGGTGCCTGCGGGGGCTGGACAGCAGTGTGACTCCCAGGTGTGTGCGGTTGCCTCCCTTTGGCAGGTACGGCCACTTGGGAACATGTCTCGTCAGATACTTTTCTCCTTTGAACTCAGTTTTCCTTTGAGTTGGCTGCCCAGAAAGATTTGCTGTGTGATACAGCACAAGGGTTCCATTTAGCTTCTCAAACCAGGAAGGCGGAGAACAGCCGTGTCCCTTGAAGAGAAGGTTAATGAAAGCTCTGTGCTCTGAGAAGGAATGGGGAGGGTCCTCCAGGCTGCAGCCTCAGGTGGTGCAGGGACATGTGTCCCTCAGCGCTTTCCCACAGCTGCGGCTCCTCCCAGAGCTCAGGGAGCTGGCCCCCGGTCCCCAGCCCCAGGCTGCCCTGACCCATGTGCCTTCCCTTTGCAGATGACAAAAACTTCCTGCACATCATGATGAAAGTGTCAAAGGGCCACCGCCCGGAGCTGCCGCCTGTCTGCAGAGCCAGGCCGCGCGCCTGCAGCAACCTCTTGGGTCTCATGCAAAGATGCTGGCACGGGGACCCGTGCGAACGGCCCACCTTCCAAGGTGAGCACCTGCAGGCGGCTCCCGGCGCAGGGCTCCCGAGTGTTGCTGCTCGGTCAGTCCTTGGGGATCCCAGGAGAGAGCAGACGACCGGGACAGGGTCTGGGGGGACAGGCCCAGAGCGCGAGGTCTGTGCAGAGACAGTGCACCCAGGCGAGTCCCGCAGGAACAGCTTGGCCTCAGCATCCTGGTGCACAGGGCCTGGATGGGCGGTTGGAACTTCACATCAACTCTAGCCATCCCCCCACCCCGCCCCCTCCGCTGCAGCCCAGGGCTGGGCCCTGCTGCCTGGAGGAGCCTGCACTTGGTATTTCAGGGTCACATTCAGCAATGCATCTTTTAGGGACCGGCGTGACCACTGGCCTGCGGCTTTCTTTGCCTTTTTCCTATGGGGTTGTGTCCTCATGGAACAGTTGTGTCATTTGGTTGGGATATGGTCTTGGTGGATTTGAAACTGGTCGTTGCATTTAAAACACAGGGGGGCACATGAATGAAGCAGCGGGGGTGGGGGGGGGCTCACGTGCCAGGTGCTGGCGGGTCTCGCACCCTCTCCTCCGGCTCTGGAAGGCTCCTTTAGGGAACTGGAGCACCGGGACGCCTTGCGTCTGGTGAGACGGGCCAAGGGCCGCTCACCCGAGGCCCCAGGGGTGGGCTGTGAGCTCGGCGGGGGCCAGCTGTGGGGGGAAGGTACAGTGCCGTATTTTCCCTGCGGTCAAGATGCTTCAGGGCATCGCCTCTAGCATCCCGCTTGGGGCGGCATGTTTATGTAGAGTGAATGTGGAAGTCATTGTCCAAGGGACAAGTCCTTTTTTGTTTTCTCCCCAAAAGAAATCACTTCAGAAACCGAGGATCTGTGTGAAAAGCCTGATGATGAAGTGAGAGAGAGAACTCAAGGTCCAGGAGTGAAAGATGCTCCGGAGCCCAAGAGCGAGGTACGGGAACTGGGAGGCGCCGCTGGTGCTGCGTGCGCGTCGAGTTTGCCAAACCAAGGCCTCTCTCTTCTGCAAACCCCCCTGCCAGCCTGGGCCCCTTGCCCCTCGCTCCGAGGCGCGGCCTGGCCTCTGAGCCCCAGTCTGTGTCAGTCGGTCATGGGTGTCCTGTGCTCAGTGACAGGCGGGCAGGTCCCAAGGCAGCTTCAGTGGACCCAGATTTATTCCCTGCCCGACTGCATCCCGTCCCCTCCACCGGTCTGGTGACACATGAACAATGCGGGCCCTTGTGTGCTATTAAAAAACTAAAGCCACCAGGTGGGTGTTCTTGGAACCAGGAGGACTGCAGGCCCCCGCCAGGCCCGGGCGGCAGGGCCGGGGGAGAGCTGGGCCCTGGGGGTCTTCGCAGCCCTGGCTCGGAGATCTTCTCGTAAATGATTTGTTCAGTGGGTGTCACGTGGCTAATATACGAAGTGATAGGAGCTGCCAGCGCCAGGACTTACTGAATGCCTCTGAAGCAAGGCCCGTACTGCCTTGTAACACGCCGTCTGGTACTGGGCAGTTCAGCCCAGGCTCTTGGTGTAAAACTGGGAGATAAGCAGGTGTTTCTGACGTTTCCACTGTCTGCACAGCATGTGCATGAGGCTGGGGAGCGAAGGTGCCCTGGGGAGGTGACTGGGTTCCCTGATAAGGAAAATACAGGCACTGAACAGATGGGTGTGATCCGTGCACTAAACCACCAGGTCAGCGCGGATCAGCCACTCCCCAGACGGGCGAGGATTTGGGGTCAAATGGGCGTGAATCGGGAAGAGTCCCGGAATCTGCCAGATACCGGCCTTTGTCAGTGTCCGTGAGGGAAGCCCTCCAAAGGCTGGGCCACAGCCTTGTCCCTGGAGCAGGGCCCCGCCCGCGCCCTTGTCCACACACAGTCCCAAGCCAGACTTGCTCAGCTGCAGGCAGAGGTCGCAGGTTGTAGGCAATGGTGGGGGCGGGGGGGCAGGGGAGTCCCAGGCCCGGGCCCTCCTTGTTTCTTACCCGGGCCGACCTGCTCTGGTGAACGCCGCCCGGTGCTCCGTTTCCGTGCTTGCGGCCCGTTCACGTCCCACTTTCTGTCCCTGTAACGCTGCATGCCGTGCCCCTGCATGTGTGGGACCCAGGGCAGCCTGGTGGTGGACTTCGTGTATGTATTTTTCCCCCCAGTCTTTCCTTACAAGGTCTTTCTGCCCTGTGACCAGTGTTGCGCCATTGGGCTCCACGGGGCCATGTGTAGGATAACAGGAGGTTAGTTCCCCACGTGAGGTACTGGGACCACGTGTTCCCTTTCCTCCTCCGCCTTCCCCGACCGTGTGGTGGATGGAGCCTCACCCCCGCCCCCCGCTCGTCCGTGCAGGCGCCGGTGTCCACGCCCCTCCAGCGAGCCTCGGCCCCCGCCTTCGACAAGGACTACAGCCTGTCCGAGCTGCTGTCCCAGCTGGACTCGGGCATCTCCCAGACGATCGAGGGCCCAGACGAGCTCAGCCGCAGCTCCTCCGAGTCCAAACTTCCATCGGCGAACAGCGACAAGCGGCTGTCGGGGGTGTCGTCCGTCGATTCTGCCTTCTCTTCCAGAGGGTCCTTGTCCCTGTCTTTCGAGCGGGAGCCTTCCACGGGCGGTGAGTGGAGGGCCCTGTGCTGTGGGAAATGGCGAGCGTTCCTATGGTGGTGGCGGCGGGCAGGGTGTGGTGATGTCTGGGGGCAACGAAGAAGACCGAGGTGTCCTGGTTCTCAACTTGACACTAGTTCTTCGTTTCCTCCCTCCCTTCTTGGTTTGGGGTATCCGTCACTTGTTGGTTCACTGAGCCCAAATCCAGACATGTGCCCTGGCCAGGCTGGTGACACTTAAGTGTTAACGGGCCACACACCTGGAGGGGCAGGAGAGTCTCCCCTGTGCCGATGCCCGTGCAAGGGCCGACCTCAGGTTTCTAGATGGAAAACCCTGAGCTGCGTCAAGTCAGACAAGCAGATGAGTCTAACCCCTCACACTGGATATCGCGCTCTCTCGTGGAGGCCAGCCCTATGCCCCCATTGTTAGTGCTGGGTAAACATCCCGTACTTGCTTATTGGTGGGTTCCCCATCCACTGTGGCCGTGCATTATAATGGTGAGTTAGCCTGGGGCGTTATAACACCGGCCTGTTGGAGGGGCCCTCCTCGGCTCACCTTAATCTCACCTTAATGTTTTGACGTTCATTGTGATGGGTTTTTTGTTTTTGAAGGTGCTTTTCCCTGCTCTCCCCAGGTGCTGGCCTGTGGATGTGGGGGCTGGTCTGTAGCTCCTGCGCTGTCACCAGCCAGGATGAGATGGGGTCCTGAGCTGCACCTTAAGGTGCCGCAGCCCTGTAAAGACAGCGTGGGTGTTCAAAGTCAAGGCTCCAGCACTGGGGTGGCTGAGTGCCAGAGCATCAAGGACCGTGGGTGGAGGGCGAGCTTGCTTGCCCCCTTGGATCGGGGAATTGCTCCAGGAAGGGGGTACTTTTTCTGGATGCTGCAGGCCTCCTGGGATTTTCAGAGTGGAGTGTTTGGGCCGGAAGAGGGCATGTTGGGTTGAGAAAATACCTTGCCAAATACACAGCGGGGAAGGCCTGGCTGGACGGCCGGACTGGAGGGAGAGGTGAGCAGCGGTGGAGAGGCCGAAAAGGAGAGAAAACTTGTCTCCTGTAGAGAAAGATCATGTGAATCCTCTCTTGGTCTGAGGTTCTTAAAATGCCATCTTGTCCTCATGCTTAGAGGGTTTCCGTTAGTGGCACTCCCGGAAATCAGGGTTAAACACAGTCTGGACTGAGCCGATTCCGGTCTCTGACCTCCACCCAGCACCCACCCTCCCTGAGCATCTTTCTTATAAGGGAGTTTGGTTCCATGTGAGCCAGGACTCCACACAACGTAGAGGACTGTCATGTTGAGCAGAACCTAAGGGGGAAGGCCCAGACCTTTGAGCGTATTGTAAGGACTATGGGCACGGGGCCCCATTTGGAGATTGGGCTGGGAGCAGGCAGCTCCCAGAGGGGTTGAGGGTCCTTCTTCCCTCCTTCCCTCCCTCCCTCCTTCCCATTGGCAATCGCTGCCATTTCTGATGAGCAACCCTTGCAGGATGGTGAGCATGATTTTTATTTTGCAAGTTGACAAAAAGGCCCCTTGGGGTCATTCATTGACCTGCCCACTACATCTAAGATTAAATTGGCAGGAACAACAGGACACTTAAGTAGTTTCAGGTAAAAAGCGACCTGGAGGCCGTAGGGAGGCGTGGGCCCCCTCCGGCCACCAGCCCGGCTCTAGGGAAGCCGCGGGCAGCAGCCTTGTCTGACCCTGGTGCCCACTCTCCCCACAGATCTTGGCACCACGGACATCCAGAAGAAGAAGCTCGTGGATGCCATCGTGAATGGGGACACCAACCGGCTGATGAAGATCCTGCAGCCCCAGGATGTCGACCTGGTCCTGGAGGGCGGCACCAGCCTGCTGCACCTGGCCGTGGAGGCCGGGCAGGAGGAGTGTGTCAAGTGGCTGCTCCTCAACAACGCCAACCCCAACCTGACCAACAGGAAGGGCTCCACTCCCCTGCATCTGGCTGTGGAGAAGAGGGTGCGGGGCGTGGTGGAGCTCCTGCTGGCCCGGAAGATCAGCGTCAACGCCACAGACGAGGACCAGTGGACGGCCCTCCACTTCGCGGCGCAGAATGGAGACGAGTGCAGCACGCGGCTGCTGCTGGAGAGGAACGCGTCCATCAATGAGGTGGACTTCGAGGGCCGCACGCCCATGCACGTGGCCTGCCAGCATGGGCAGGAGAGCGTCGTGCGCATCCTGCTACGCCGGGGCGTCGACGTGGGCCTGCAGGGGAAGGACGCCTGGCTGCCGCTGCACTATGCCGCCTGGCAGGGCCACCTGCCCATCGTCAAGCTGCTGGCCAAGCAGCCGGGGGTGAGCGTGAATGCCCAGACGCTGGACGGGAGGACGCCCCTGCACCTGGCCGCTCAGCGAGGGCACTACCGCGTGGCCCGCATCCTCATCGACCTGCACTCCGACGTCAACGTCTGCAACCTGCTTGCGCAGACGCCCCTGCACGTTGCCGCAGAGACGGGGCACACGAGCACCGCCCGGCTGCTCCTGCACCGGGGTGCCAACAGGGAAGCGGTGACCTCGGAGGGCTGCACTGCCCTACACCTGGCTTCCCGGAATGGGCACCTGGCGACCGTCAAGCTGCTGGTGGAAGAGAAGGCTGACGTGCTGGCTCTGGGGCCCCGGAACCAGACGGCGCTGCACCTGGCCGCGGCCAACGGGCACACGGAGGTGGTGGAGGAGCTGGTCAGTGCTGATGTGCTCAACCTGTCTGATGAGCAGGGGCTCAGCGCCCTGCACCTGGCCGCCCGGGGCAGACATGCCAAGACAGTGGAGACGCTGCTCAAGCACGGGGCCCACGTCAACCTGCAAAGCCTCAAGTTCCAGGGCGGGCACAGCCCCGCTGCCACACTGCTCCGGCGAAACAAAACCTAGCTTGCTGCCATCGGAAGCTGGAGCCCGTGCAGGGTTCTGGTCCCATTGTCATGTTCCACGGTGGGGACAGAACGATGCTGTGCTGGTCAACAACCCTCACCTTGTTGATGGCCTGGCGGCATGTCAGCTGAACAGGCCATCAAGAGGCTGCTGACTCTTGATGCTTGCCAGGAGTCTGAGTGGGTTACCCTCCAAATGAAGGTGGTTCAAAGGTGCTGATCCATCTGCCCATCAGGGGGCCCCATGTCAGAGGGGCGATGGGCTGAAATCATTTCGTTACACTGCTGCTTCTCAGGCTGGCCCTTCGGTGACAGTCGTGGGTGCTCTCAAGGCCATCGTGTCCCGAGCCGGAGCCTCTGGAGCGCACCAGCCTGAGGAGGCAGGGGTGGGAGGAGCTGTCTTCGATCTTCATTTGCAGTGGCAGACAAAGCAGGTTGTTTCAGGGTGTTCATGGCATTCTTGTTTTGTGGAACACCCTCACTAGATGAACACGGCATCAACTGTTCCTTTAAACCTCTTTAAAATAGTCACAGCCATGGATAGCCTGGTCTGTCGGTAACATGTAATGCATAACATGTGATGTGCAACGTGTAAAAAGCGAGGTGGTTTGTTTTTAAAAGCCCAGTGAGTTGTCCGCTCTGACACACTGAGATTGCTTCTCCATTGCTTCTTGTGGCAACACACCTTCCAGGATGCTCACTGCTATAGTCATGTTTCATTTGCATAAAATGCATTTTGAACTCTTAAAGCCAAATAGGCAAGAGTCATCTAAAAAATTCACCTGTAACCTCAGTTTTGGATGCAAAACAGTATTACCTACATAGATGAACCTCCTAACTTGCTGGCTTCTTTCCAGCTCCCATGTTCAGAAAGATGGTTGTCTGTGTGTTTTTTGGGGTCTCAGACGGGCTTTCTGACCTGCTTGTAAACCTCTAAACTGTGTAAACCCAGAGGTGGCCCTAGGAGAGACCACCCAACACTCGGCTGCACAACACAAGGTTATCTAGGCCTGTTCATCCCGCCGTTTGTGTCGCATATGGCGTGCCCTCCAATTTTGTCATTCGAGTGTACTTGCTGCGGGGGATTGTCCTGTTTGCAAACATGAGTTGTGCTGTATGATACAGAGATTGATATTAATATACCATGTATATTAATGTGAATCTGTGGGCTGGATATTTCTTTTCTATGACAGGAAATATCCAGACTGCTTAGAACTGGCTATGTTTTAATATGCCTCATGCTGTAGTGATACGCGCAGTTGTTAAAAGATTGCTTGGATAGAAATAAAGATAAGTTGTCGTCTACTCATTTTTTTGAAGTCAGACTCCTTTTTCTTATAAGTGACCGCGAACAGTTGGATATCTGAAAACCAGAGGTTTGGGCAGTCATGTGTCGTGTGGACATGCCCTTCCAGTAGGGTAGTCTGTGGGCACTGAATTAGCCACGCGATTCCCGCCACCCATCCATTCACCCACCCATATACCCAGCCATCCACCTGTTTAAGTAGGTTGCAGACAGTGTACCCCAGGACCCCAGATACTTGCATTCCTGAAAACAAGCACTTTCTCTCCGACAGCCTCTGGAGCCGAACCCGCACGGTCTCTGCGGTCTGCCTTTGTCTACATCCATGTGGATCGACTCCGCTATCATCATCATCTTGATGTTCGAGTCAGACCCGATTTGGCTGGCCGGCCTTCCTGCTGGTTGTTGTGTCTCTTTGCCGCCTCCCTGCCGTCCTCTGAGCGTGTCTTATTTTCTGACGCAGTGAGCGCTCCAGGCCCCTGCTGCTCTTCCCCGACCCCGGCCTCAGAAGCGGCCATTTCTCCAAGGTCATGGGTTTCTTTTCGTGCAGAAGGGTACTTAGAAACCGAGATCTGGGTGTGAGATATGCTCACTGTTCCTGGGATGTCCTGTTTGGGGCCCTGTCAATAGACAGACTGGGAAATGTGTGTAACTTGGATGTATGTGTTTACGCATCCTCTCTCTCATTAAGTGCCACATACGCATCTCTATCTCATTAAGGGCCACACCAAAGCCTTCGATTACAGTCCAACTCCCCAGGGCTGTTCTAGTTCATCCATATTATGTCTGCTTTCTCTGAAAGAGGGGTGATCTTTGTTACCCTCAACATGTGTGCATAATTGACCCATCTCTTGTGTCCCTGCCACTGCGCTGGCACCCTTAGCCTATGCCCACTCCTGTGGGCTGAGCCAGCCTTGTGCCCAACAGTGCACCCATTAAGTTCACTGACCTATGAAATGACAGGGTTTTTTCTTTTCTTTTTTTTAAGACTTTTGTGCCAGGAATTAAGAGCTTTCCCTCACTATAACCCTGCCATTTGGCTTAGCTTTCCCTATTTTTTTTTATCAGATACTTCCATTGTTTTCCTTTATGGCCCAAGAGAGTAATAGTTTAACAACATTACAATTTTTTCCAGAAAACCTGGGCAATATTTTTCCCTTCCCTCGGACCCCTGTTCCATGCTTATTCATTGAAGAGCATGCTCTGGTCTGAAGACTGCAGGAACTTTGCAACCTCCTGCTTTAGGTCAAAACTGCCCCTTTGTACAGGGAGGAAATCAAAGGGAGCCTTACACTTCCTGTGCCGTGCTGCTGCCCTGGGGCGAGGTCCTCTGGCCACCCTCAGCTGGTCCCTCCTGGGCCCCAGCCTGCCTTCAGCGGCTCCGAGGCCTGGAGGTGGCCGTTCCAGGAGAAGCGGCTCCCCAGCTGAGCCCTCGGCCCCGGGCAGTGCCCTCATGTGCTGACACGCATGTCCACAAGTGCTCTTGCCCGCGGCAGTCCTCCAGCAGCCGGGGGGTGGAGCCAGAACCAGAGGGCACAGCACCCAACGTGCCCTGGTTATGGACCAGGAAGTCCGGTTGGGGACACCAGCAAAGATCTCAGCCTCGGCCGTGGCTTCCGCCCTGTCACTGTTCACATTCTGCCAGCCGGACACAAAGAGCCCAAGTCCATGCAATGCTTTATACCCACCTTGCCCGCAGCCAACAGAGAGGTGGGCCCCGGGGCTCCAGTGCCTTGTGGCTATTGTTGGTGCGCTCACAGATACACACCTGAAGCCATGCTCTCCAAGAGCAGAGAGCTTGGACACCTGACCTGGGGACTGTGTGTCCTTTCTGGTGCCATGGTTCCATGACCCTGTGCCCTATGAATCTTAGGAATTTCAGTGCAGAATCCTGAAGTCCCTGATGGGCCAGGGCAGCCGCCAGCCTGCCTCCTTGATGCCTGGCAGCATGGGTGCCTGTGTATTCCAGGGCTTTCTTAGCAAACGACTGGTTGACCCCTTGGCCACTGCACTTCCCAGTGCCAAGTAGTGGAGAAATGCCATCTTGCAGGTCATTGGCCCGGATTCCAGCTCTCCAGGGCCTTCAGTTGCCACAGGCATTTCTCTGGGCCAAGCATGAGCTACTTATTTCCAAAGCCTGGGTGTGGTGGGTGGTGTGGCGAAGGCAGCCATCGGCACTGCAGCAGGAAGGAAGCAGGCGTCACGGAAGCTGCCACTGCAGAGAGAACCCCTGCATGCTCACGGCTGCCGTTTTGGTGGCCGGGTCCTGGAGAACTTGGACGCTTAATCCGAGATGTTTTTCCTCCACTCGCCTTGTCTCCCTTCCTTCCCTCCCTCCATCCCTACTTCCTGCCATCCTTCTCCTCCCTCTCCTCCTCTCTCCCTCCCCCGCTTATTGATTAATGGCCACATGAAGTCAGGGGTTCAGAACTCCACCCCACGAGGCCCTGCACCAACACTCTGCCGGGGCACAGTGGCGCCGATGGTGACGGAGTAAGGAGGGACGCTGGCTGAGCCGTCTGTTCCATTTGATGATCCTAGTCACTGCTTTAGGCCTATGGCAAAGAAAAACTGACCATGTCAGGAGCGGCCGGATCTAGGGGTTCCCACAGTGCCACCCTCCCTCAGTGTGGGTTTCACTCCTGAGTGGACCCCTTAACTTGGAAAAGGCCTTGACGTCTCCAAGCTTAATAACCTCAGCTCGCGGATCCCAGTAGAAAGAGCTGCTTTCCCCCTTCCCAAACCCCAAATTAAGCATAATGCATAGATTCTTAGACTTTTTTTTTCCACCCTGAGAGTTATGGCATCTTACAATTGAAATGGACATCATATTTTGCTTTCTGAGGTGCTGTCGATAACGATACATTTTATAACTCATGGCATCTCAGAATTGATGCAGTAGGGCTGACCATCTGCCTGGCTCTGCCCACTCCCAAAACCATCTGTGGGAAGCAAATGTTCTGGTCGACCAAACGGGCTCAGGCCTGTTGACTCTCCTTGAACATGGGGGGTAGTATTTTCCTAAAGGAAAATCAGGATGCTCTTACTGGAAAAGGGGGTTGGGGGTTGGGTAGTTCCTCTGTGGAGAGGCCACAGAAGAGCCGGAACAGCCTGCAGATGACCTGCAGTGGTGTGTGGAATGTGTGTCTGTGTTTTCTCAGGAGTGCAGAGAGAGAGCTCCCTGACCCACACTGCCCCTCTTGGGACCCTGGGCAGAGGGCGGTGGGTGTTCTGCAAGGGCCACCTGTCAGCCCAGCGGTGGAGGCGTTGCCCACTGGCTTTACAGACACAGTGGGTAGGTCAGAAAGAGAACCTGGGGGCCCCCCAGATGTATCAGAGCTGGGACAAGAACCCTGCTCTGGCGCTCAGGGAACCCCAGATCGACTTTGAAGTGAGGAAGAATGTTGCCCCCAGTTCCTGAGCTCCACCTGAGAGAGGAGGCGCAGAGCCGGGGTCCCTGCCAAGGAAAGTGGGGCACCTGAGTGTCCCTAAGCCAAAGGGAACACCTAAGAAAGCACCCACGTAACTGAAGGGGGTGAAGCCACCAAGCAATGGGGAAAAGCTCAGACAGCGCAGTCCCCTCGCTGGAACGACCACCCCCAGCTGACTGCGGGAGGGAAACCATGCCGGAGCTGCCCCGCCAGCTGCCGATGAAAGTTCGGCCAACAAAGAGTAAGCCGTCTGCCTAATGGCAAGTGTTAAGATCTAGATTATAAATGCACTGAAAGCAGCAAGCTGAGCTTCGAAAGAATGTGTTCAGGTGCTGGGTTAGGATGAGGGAACCCGCAATAAGTAAGCAGCCTGCGGGGCAGGAGATGCCTGCTTCTCATCTCACACACGGGACTGCGTGTGGTTAGAGAATAAACACACGGCGCGCAGCGCTTCAGTAAAGAGGGGTGCTGCCCCGGGAGTGCGGGTCCGGGGCTCTAGGGGGACCCCACTTTTTGTTTGACAACGTCTGCATTGGATGCTGACACTTGGAATGGAGCCCGGAGGTTTCAACAAGCCTCCGTCCCTCTGTGGCAATCAAAAAGAATTCGGTCTCCCCGAGGGTGTCTTCTTCCTCCTTGCGCCACCGCCTGGACCCAGCTGTGCCACTGGAAAAACAAGACTCAGGTGAGGTGGCACCTGGCGGGACCGTGAGCGAGGCCGGTGGGGAGGTGGCCCCGGCTCTGGGAGAAAGCTGACTTGGGGGCGGCAGCTGCCTCCTCCGCTGGCTGTGGCCACAGGACCGCCTTTGTCTTGCTGTCTTCCCTGGGTGGCTGCAGGAGACAGGCCGTGCGCGGTGAAAGCCTGCTAGGGAACGAAGGCCAACAAGCTGCCCCCGGGGAGAACTCTCCCTCGCCTCCCTGCCCCTCCTGCGACTCTCAGGAGCGCCGCCAACCGCGGACGAAGGGCTCAGCCCGTGGGGGCCGCCCGGGTGGCACAGGGAAGGGTGCAGAGCAATGTGAGACCCCAAGGTGGCCTTCGGGGAAAGGGGGAGGGAAATGACGTGGGATGGTGGTTGGGGACGTTGTGCCGGTGACATGTCCAGACGCGAGGCTGAGCTGGCCTTTGCAGGGTGGACGGGAAGGGCCGTGAGAGGAACGAAGCCATTCATTCTGAAGGAAGGACCTGGGGGAGGAAGGGAGGGGACAGGGGATGTGTCCCAAGGATGGTGCTTGCAAACATCCTTCTGCAGCGACGGCAGAAGGTGATTTTCTGGTATTTCCCTTTATCCAGGGACCAGGCAGAGATGTGTTGTGGTGAGCCCACCCGGTCCATGCGACGAAGCATTTCTCAGCTTGACAGGGGCTATTCCTGGAAGTTGTCACCCATGGGTCAGCCAGGGCCTTGCTGACACTTACGTGGCAAGATGCTGTGAATCAACCTGCTGGCCACGCGGTTTGTGAACTTTTTCCTGGTCCAAGACAAGAGAAGCACAGACCCTGAGAACAAGGTTTTGGGACATAAATAACCACTTGACAGAGTGACTTTATGATG